ACCATGATGAGCAAGACTTGGAGGATCTCCATCCTTGGCAGCTTCTATTCTAGAACTGTCCATAGACTGTTGCACTTTCTTCTCACCATTTACTTGAGACAACTATAATTACTATGCCACCTTTAAAGAAGAACATTAGACCAGCCTGGCCAACAAGGTGAAACCTCATCTCCACTAAAAATACAAAAACTAGCTGGGCACAGTTGTGTGCGCCTGTAATCCCAGCTATTCCAGAGGCTGAGGCGGGAGAATCACTTGAACCCAGGAGGCAGATGTTGCAGTGAGCCGAGATCACGCCACTGCACTCCAGCCTAGGTGAGAGCGAGACTCCGTCTCAAAAAAAAAAAGAAAAAAAAAAAAAAAAAGTAAAAAGAAGAAGAACATTAAGGGGGAAAAAAATAATTCTTCAATAAAGAATGAATACTGGCCAGGTGCAGTCGCTCACACCTGTAATCCCAGTACTTTGGGAGGCTGATGCGGGTGGATCACCTGAGGTCAGCAGTTCGAGACGAACCCGGCCAACATGGTGAAACCCCGTCTCTACTAAAAATTCAAAAATTAGCCAGGCGTGGTGGCACACACCTGTAATCCCATCTACTCCAGAGGCTGAGGCAGGACAATTGCTGAAGCCTGGGTGACGGAGGTCGCACTGAGCCGAGATGGCACCACTGCACTCCAGCCTGGCCGGCACAGAGATTCTGTCTTGAAAAAAAAAAAAAAAAGAATGGATGCAAACTGAGTTTGCAGAACAAGTCTGAGTAGATTCGGGACAGCACCACTTCTCTAACTCAATGGTAGTAGAAAGAAGAACCAGGCACTCATTTGTCACAGAGGATGTAGATAGGTATACCCTTTTCAAAAATGTTTTGCAATTTCTTTCAATATTTTAAATTTGTGTATCTTCTGACCAAGTAATGCCAATCTTATGAATTTGTCCTACAGAACGTGCACAAACAAGGAAGGGCATGAGTACAAAGACGTAAGTTTAGCCGGGCATGGTGTCACATGTCTGTAGTCCCAGCTTCTCACGAGGCTGAGGTGGGAGGATCATTTAGGGTCCAGGAGTTCTGGGCTGTAATGCGCTATGCCTATGGGTGTCCACACTAAGTTTGGCATCAATATGGTGACCTCCTGGGAGCAGGGGACCACCAGGTTGCCTAAGAAGGGGTGAACTGGCCTAGGTCGGAAACAGGGCAGGTCAAAATCCCAGTGCTGATGAGTAGCAGGATCTCGCCTGTGAACAGCTACTGCACTCCAGCCTGGGCAACATAGTGAGACCCATCTCTACTAAAAGAAAATTTTTCACTTTTTAAAAAATAAATAGGCCAGGCGCAGTGGCTCACACTTGTAATCACTATACTTTGGGAGGCCGAGGCGGGTGAATCATCTGAGGTCAGGAGTTCAAGACCAGCGTGGCCAACATGATGAAAACCCATCTCTACTAAAAACACAAAACATTAGCTGGGCATCATGGTGCACGCCTGTAATCCCAGCTACTCAGGAGGCTGAGGCAGGAGAATCACTTGAACCCAGGAGCTGGAGGTTGCAGTGAGCCTTGATCGTGCCACTACGCTCCAGCCTGGGCAACACGAGCAAAACTTCACCTCAAAAAATAAACAGAAATTTATAAATAAATAAATAAAAATGAAAGACATAATTTTAGCATTATTTGTGATACTGAAAAATGAGAAATAACGTAAGTGTCCATCAGGATGAGATTGAATAAACAAATTATGGTATGTCTATATAATGGAATACTATGCAAGTGTTTTCAGTGATGTAGATCTACATGTATATATTTGAAAAAATATCAGTGAAATACTAAGTCAAAAAAGCAAGCTGTTTTTGAAAAAAAGGTATAGTTTTCTATAATACAGCCAACATTTCAAGTGTCCTGAACACCTTACATGCATTATCTTAAGTTATACTATTATCTTCCTCACTTTATAAATGAGGAAACTGAGTTAAGCAGTAACTTGGTCAGTGAATGCAGACATCTGGCTTTGAACCAATGTGCTTAGTCACTTCACTACACCAAGGCGGTAATTAAGTCCCTCTTTAGCTTAGGCTAGTTCGAGTTGGGGTTTCCCACTTTCAATCAAGAGAATCCTAATAAATAATCCAGATATAGGTCAATAGAGACTGGATAAATTATGGCACAATAACAGGATACTGTGTAGCTGTTTTAAAGAAGAAACAGGCTGGGCATGGTGGCTCACGCCTGAAATCCCAGTACTTTGGGAGGCCAATGAGGCAGATCCCTTGAGGTCAGGAGTTCCAGACCAGCCTTGCCAACATGGTGAAACCTTGCCTCTACTAAAAATACAAAAATTAGCCAGGTGTAGTGGTGGCATGCCTATAAGCCCAGCTACTCCAGAGGCTGAGGCAGGAGAATCGCTTGAACCCGGGAGGCAGAGGTTGCAGTGAGCAGAGATTGTGCCACTGCACTGCAGCTTGGGCAACAGAGCAAAACTCCATCTCAAAAAAATAATTTTTTTTAAAAAGAAGAAACAATATATATTGACATGAAAACAAACCCAATATTTAAGAGTAAAAGCAAGTTTACAGGACAGTTTGTGTGTGCACATGTGTAATTTTGTATACATGTGTACTTAGAGAGAAAAGACATTTCAAAACAGTTTTGGGTGCCTCTGGAGGCTAGGATGGGCAAGACTCTCACTCTATTTTTATATAATTCTGCATCTTTTTTTTTTTCATTTATTTATTTATTTAATAGAGATGGGGTCTTCTATGTTGTCCAGGCTGGTCTTGAACTTCTGGCCTCAAGTGATCCTCTTGCCTCAGTCTCCCAAAGTGCTGGCATTACAGGGATGAGCCACTGCACCCGGTGCATATTTTTCTTTTTAATTTTCCAAAAAGCATATATGATTTTTTTTTTTTTTCAAGATGAAGTCTTGCTCTGTCAATGCAGGCTGGAGTGTAGTGGTGCGATCTCAGCTCACTGCAACCTCCACCTCCCAGGTTCAAGTGATTCTCCTGCCTCAGCCTCCCGAGTAGCTGGGGTTATAGGCACGTGCCACCATGCCCAGCTAATTTTTGTATTTTTAGTAGAGACAGGGTTTCACCATATTGGCCAGACCGGTCTCAAACTCCTGACCTCGTTATCTGCCCGCCTTGGCCTCCCAAAGTGATGAGATTATAGGCAAGAGCCACCACACAGGCCCAGGCTCAGTTTTAAATGTGTTCTATCACCTTAGGCAAATGTGTTTGCCTTTGTGGGCCTGTTTTCTCCTCTCTAGGAGGGGTGTCTGAAACAATAGTAGTACCTTTTTCAGTGGCTTCTATATGCCAAGCACTATGCTAAACAGTTTCCTCACCACAGCTCCAGGAGCTAAACATCAACTCCATTTCCAGATACAAAAACTGAAACACAAGTGTTGGAATCAGAATGAACTCAGATTTAGCTCACCTCCAAAAGCCATGTTCTCCCCACTATACCACTCTCCCAGCTACCTCTTGCCTCGTGTCTCACAATTTCCTGGTGCTGGAACATATTTAAACCCAGGCCTTATGACTCAAATTTCTCTACCTGGAAAATGCTATCATTCTAAATGCCTGTTCACTTACATTATTGTTATAAAATGTTTATGCTGTATCAAACTCTAAAACAGGGTGTCTCAACCTTAGCACTACTGACATTTGGACTGGAAAATTCCTTGCCGTTGGGGGCTGACCTATGGCAATGTAGGATGTTTAGAAGCATCCCTGGGTAGCACCCCACACCTCAGCTGTTATACCAAACATGCCTCCAGACATACTGCCAAATGTCCCCTTGAAAATCACCCTGGATTGAGAACCACTGCTCTAAAAGGAAGAAAAAGCCAAACTCCTGCGTGAACTCACAATGAAACTGTATTGAAAGGAAATTTTGAATCTAATAAATATTTGTACCTCCATGATTCTTTAAGAGTTTGGGTTAATGTTAACACCAAGTACCTTACAATTATTGGCCATGTGCAGAACACTGTACCAACTACACATAAAGTAATTATCCAAGAATTAGGGAAAGAAGGAGTTAGGATAGATCTTGCCCTCTCAACAATAACTCCACTTCACACCTACTGAAATCCATCCATGCCTGAGAGGAACAGGACCATGTGAGGCCGCTGAGTGATGAAGGAGATAAGAATATGCCAACTCAATATATGCTGCCCTGGCATATTAACTATTTTGAGCTAAAAGCACTTGAAAAACAGCAGATGCAAGATCATTCTGACTTTCCTTCTGTTTCTTAAAAGCAGGAGATAAAATTCCCCTGTGAAAGACGTCCTCTCTACGCCAGAAGTAAAGTAACATTCTTATCATCAAGGACGGGGGGAAATTGGAAATTGAGGTCAAGGGAAACGTGTACAAACCAACCTTGTTAGACTAATCCTTATCCTCCCAGCCACTTCTCTACCCAATTAACTCAGCCCAAGCCCCTCTGCCATGTCACACTTTCATAATTCACAACTCTTTGTCTAATTCAGCATATAGTGTTCAACTCTGTGTCTTTGAGTGTTTATTTCTTTTTCTTTCTTTCGAGATGGAGTCTCGCTCTGTTGCCCAGGCTGGAGTGCAGTGGTGCGATTTCAGCTCACTGCAACCCCTGCCTCCCGGGTTCAAGCGATTCTCCTGCCTCAGCCTCCCAAGTAGCTGGGACTACAGGCACACGCCACCATGCCCAGCTAATTTTTGTATTTTTAGTAGAGACAGGGTTTCACCATGTTGGCCAGGATGGTCACGATATCTTGAGTTCATGATCTGCCTGCCTCGGCCTCCCAAAGTGCTGGGATTACAGGCGTGAGCCACCATGCCCGGCCAAGTGTTTATTTCTTTATGAAGGCTCCCATGCCAAGTGAAACTTGTATTAAATAAGTCTGTATGCTTTCCTCCTGTTGATCTGTCTTATGTCCATTTAATTTTCAGACCCAGCTGAAAAACTCTTAAAGGATACCTCCTCTGCAATGAGAATATTTTCAACAGAGCACAGTAGGAAGTGAATTCAATGCTGATTTTATTTCAACTAAATAAAGCAATGCACAAGTTATCTGGGCAGCAAGCTTAACTCTAGGAGCAAAAGCTAAGAAACAAGGATTCTTTTTTTCTTTAAATTATCCATCACTACACATGGCTGTCTTCCATACCTGCTCTCAGAAGATGTGTGTTAACAAATTTTATGTAAAGAAATACAGGAAAAGAGAAAAAGGGGAAACGCAATTTATCTAGTCTGCCAGTGAAGGTGGTCTCTCCATCTTCTGTTCTGTAAACTGTTCCATCAGCAGGGTCCACGTCGGAGGATTTTAATATTTTGACCACTTTCCCTGCAAATTGAACAATCATAGAAACACATTTATTACCTACCATACTGAAACTGTCTCATTATTTGTGTTAAGAAGACCCATATAGATATACATTAGATTCCTTCCATGGCTATACTTACTTAATCATTTTTTAAGCTAAATCTAGGAAACAAAGAGGGTGGAAGTCACCAGTCTGCCATTTTTTCCCTAACCCTAGGGCACAGGACATTAACCCCAAAGAATCACTCAGAGAGCTGGGCATGGTGGCTCATGCCTGTAATCTCAGCACTTTGGGAGGCCGAGGTGGGCGGATCACTGGAGGTCAGAAGTTCGAGACCAGCCTGGCCAACATGGTGAATCCCCGTCTCTACTAAAAATACAAAAATTAGCCAAGTGTGGTGGCACATGCCTGTAATCCCAGCTACTTGGGAGGCTGAGTCAAAAGAATCGCTTGAACCCAGGAGGCGGAAGTTGTAGTGAGCCAAGATCTTGCCAATGGACTCCAGCCTGGGCAACAAGAGCGAAATTCCATCTCAAAAAAAAAAAAAATTAGCTGGGTGTAATGATGCATGCCTGTAATCCCAGCTACTCTGGAGGCTGAGGCAGGAGAATAGCTTGAACCTGGAAGGCAGGGGTTGCAGTGAGTCAGGCGATAAGTGAGACTCAGTCTCAAAAAAAAAAGAAACAGAGAAGACCAACTGAGGTCAAATAATGAATCCCCGCTACGTACAAAGCTGCACACCTGAAGGAGCAGTTGCAGTTACCTGGTCAGGTGTGCTATATGAAGCATATCAAGTATCATTACTTAGCATTCTACTAAGCAGAGTCAGTAAGTCGCACTTCCTGACTAGTAGTACAGGGTGTGCAGATCACCTACACATGCCCTTTGAATTAAAAATAAAATTTAATACTTCACGGAGTTTAACTATTAAATAGACTCTTAATTTTAGGAAATTTCACATTAGTGGGCAATAACATAATTTCATTACCTGGCCTATAGTTGACTAATCACACATCTCATTGTTTAACTTGATCTGAAAAATGCACTGAGGATTCTGCATCTCTTTAACCATCACCCTGAAAACTGAGAACTACCATTATCACTTTTGATTCTTACATCCAAGAAAATAGTCACTACCTCCTAAGTAATCAAAATTCAACAAAAGAAACGAAGAGGCTGGGCGTGGTGGCTCACGCCTGTAATCCCAGCACTTTGGGAGACCGAGGCGGGTGGATCACTTGAGGTCAGGAGTTCGAAACCAGACTGGCCAACATGGTGAAACTCTGTCTCTACTAAAAATAAAAAATTAGCCAGGCACGGTGGCGGGTGCCTATAATCCCAGCTACTTTGGAGGCTGAGGCACGAGAATTGCTTGAACCCAGGAGGCAGAGGTTGCAGTGAACCAAGATTGCACCACTGCACTCCAGCCTGGGTGACAGAGCGAGACTCTGTCAAAAAAAAAAAAAGAAAGAAAGAAAGAAAAAGAAAAAGAAATGAAGAATACTTGGCTAGTCTACAGCTGTAAAATCATGTTACCTGATTTTCATGCACAGAGTACATTCATTGGGGTAAGTGATCATGTCAGTGCCACACACAGGGTTAAAGTCCCTGGGACATCCTGGTAATTGATACCGATAGCAGAATGGCTGGAAAAAAGAAAGGGACAGAGAAATTCAAGAATGACTTGAGATACACTCATAAAATAGTTCAGAGAAGAAAATATCCCAGATCTCCTTAGATTTCCTAGAATCATTCAATAAAAATATTTTTATTTTCCAGAAAAAAAAATTTTTTTTGAGACAGAGTCTCACCCTGTCTCCCAGGCTGGTGTGCAACGGCACAATCTCAGCTCACTGCAACCTCCGCCTCCTGGGTTCAAGTGATTCTCCTGCCTCAGCCTCCCAAGTAGCTGGGATTACAGGAGTGTGCCTCCATGTCCAGCTAATTTTTGTATTTTTAGTAGAGACAGGGTTTCACCATGTTGGCCAGGCTGGTCTCGAACTTCTGACGTCATCCACCCACCTTGGCCTCCCAAAGTGCAAGGATTACAGGCGTGAGCCACTGCACCTGGCAAAAAAAAATTTTCTAATGCTAAAATCAGATACAATGTTGGTGTGATGGTTCCATACATACTATGTAAAAAAAGGACCCCGGCCGGGTGTGGTAGCTCATGCCTGTAATCCCAACACTTTGGGAGGCCAAGGTGGGCAGATCACCCAAGGCTGGGAGTTCGATACCAGTCTGACCAACATGGAGAAACTCCGTCTCTACTAAAAAATACAAAATTAACTGGGCATGGTGGTGCATGCCTGTAATCCCAGCACTTTGGGAGGCCAAGGCGGGCAGATCATGAACTCAAGAGATCGAGACTGAGGCAGGAGAATCAAATGAACCTGGGAGGCAGAGGATGCGGTGAGCCAAGATCACGCCATTGCACTCCAACTCTCCAACCTAAGCAATGAAAGCGAAACGCCATCTAAAAAATAAAATAATTTAAAAATTAAAAAAAAAAAGGACCTCAGAGGCTTCAATCTGGCTGATTTTTAAATGAAAGTCTGAGACACGCCACCATACCTACTTTTTTATTGTCTAGCTTCACAATTTGCACTTCGCTACAATGTCCATGTGGATGTTCTATTAAATTCCACCTTAATCCCTTGCCTGAATGCCAAGACAAAATCAGGAATCTAATCTTTCAATCTGAACTTTTAAGGCACTGACATTTAACCAAAAACATTAAAGAAACCAGGAGATTCAGAATTGAAGCAAATTTGTGCCAAAGGAAAAATGTTCTAAACAGGTTCATCATCTATGGAGGCTCCAAATTTCATCCCACAAAATACTATCTACAGGAAGAGAGTTGAAACTGGGCAAACATTGCCCCAAAACTTCCTCTCCACTGACTGGAAGAGGGCCACTGCACATTTATTATTCCTTAATGTCATTTTAATTCTTATAGAAGGGCGGAGCATGGTGGCTTATATCTGTAATCCCAGCACTTTGGGAGGCTGAGGCAGGTGGATCACTTGAGGTCAGGAGTTTGAGACCAGCCTGGTCAACATAGTAAAACCCCGTCTCTAGTAAAAATACAAAAATTAGCCGGGTATGGTGGCACACGCCTGTAATCCCAGCAACTCGAGAGGCTCAGACAGAAGAATCGTTTGAACCTGGGAGGCAGAGGTTGCAGTGAACCGAGATTGCACTACTTCACTCCAGCCTAGACAACAAGAGCAAAACTGTCTCAAAAAAATTACAAATTAAAATAAAAATAATTCTTTTAGAAGGATATGCTAAAATTTTAAGCAATTCTCTGACCTTTATACTCTAGAGCAGGGGTTTCCAACCATCAGGCCACAAACTGGTACCAGTCCATGGCCTATTAGGAACTGGGCCTCCTGTTAGCAGGAGGGAAGTGGCTGGCCAGTGAGCATTATCAACTGAGCTCCACCTCCTGTCAGGTCAGCGATGGCATTAGATTCTCATAGGAGTACGAACCCTATTGTGACATGGGCATGCGAGGAATCTAGGTTGCACACTCCTTATGAGGCTATTATTTTTTTTTTTGAGATGGAGTTTTGCTCTTGTTGCCCAAGCTGGAGTGCAATGGTGCCATTTCGGCTCACTGCAACTTCCGCCTCCCAGGTTCAAGCAATTCTCCTGCCTCAGCCTCCCCAGTAGCTAGTATTACAGACGCATGTCACCATGCCCAGCTGATTTTTTGTATTTTTAGTAGAAATGGAGTTTCACCATGTTAGCCAGGCTGGTCTCAAACTTCTGACCTCAGCTGATCCACCTGCCTCAGCCTCCCAAAGTGCTGGGATTACAGGCATGAACCACCGCACCCGGCCCTTTTTTTTTTTTGACAAAGTCTCACTCTGTCGCCCAGGCTAAAGTGCAGTGATGCCATCTCGGCTCACTGCAATTTCCGCCTCCTGAGTTCAGGCAGTTCTCCTGCCTCAGCCTCCCAAATGGGTAGGATTAAAGGCACCCACCACCACGCCCAGCTAATTTTTGTATTCTTAGTAGAGACTGGGTTTCACTATGTTGGCAAGGATGGTCTCAAACTCCTGACCTTGTGATCTGCTGGCCTCGGCCTCCCAAAGTGCTGGGATTACAGGCGTGAGCCACCACACCCTGCAGAGACTCCTAACTAATGCCTGATGGTCTGAGTTTCATCCCAGACCATCTCTGCCCACCCAACTCCATGCCTCAGTGCATGGAAAAATTGTCTTCCACAAACTGGTCTCTGGTCCCAAAAAGGTTGGGGACCGCTGCTCTAAAGCTTTTCTCCTGAAAGTTTCTTATATCGTTTACTGGTATAGTCACTCATTTACAGATGTTATGGCAGACACAAAGACAAAGAAAAGTTGGATCCTGACTATAAGGAACTTAGGATGGAATAAAGCAATCAAGAAATACACATGCTGGTCTTGAAGAATGGGTAAAATTTAATATAGAAGGCTGGAAGAATGTCTACCGCAAAGAAATAAAATTGATCAAGCAAAGGCAGAGTGGCAAGAGAAGTGGTTGGCATTGGAGTTAACAGTTTAAAGGAATCCCCAAAACTCTTTTATGATTTAAAAAAAAAAAAAAAGGTTGAGGCAGGAGAATCGTTTGAACACAGCAGGCAGAGGTTGCAGTGAGCCAAGATCACTCCATTGCACTCCAGCCTAGGGCACAAGAGTGCAACTCTGTCTCAAAACAAACAAACAAAAAACAAACAAACAAACAAACAAAAAACACAGTACTCAACGAACTAGGAACAGAAGAGAACTTCCTCAACCTTACAAAAGGCATCCATAGAAAAAACAAAAACAAAAATAAAATAAAAGGCATCCATAAATAACCTACAGCAAACATTCTACTCAGTGGTAAAGGACTCAATGCTTTTCCCTAAAATCAGAAATAAAAACACAAGAATGTCCACTTTCACCTCCTCTATTCAACACTGTACCGAAGTTTGTTGCCAGGACAATTATCCAAGAAAAATAAATAAAATGCACCCAGATGGGAAAGGAAGAAGTAAAACTATCTCTATTCAAAGATGACACAGGGCTGGGCACAGTGGCTCAAGCCTGTAATCCCAACACTTTGGGAGGCCGAGGCAGGCAGATCACTTGAGGCCAGGAGTTCGAGATGAGCCTGGCCAACATGGTGAAACCCTGCCTCTACTAAAAATACAAAAATTTGCCAGGCGTGGTGGCAGTCACCTGTAATCTCAGCTACTTGAGAGGCTGAGGCAGTAGAATTGCTTGAACCCGGGAAGCGGAGGTTGTAGTGAGCTGAGATTGCACCACTGCCCTCCAGCCTGGCGAAAGAGTAAGACTCTGTCTCAAAAAACAAACAAGCAACAAAGATGACACAATCTTGTTATACAGAAATTCCTAAGACATTCACACACACACACACACACACACACACACACACACACACCCCAATAATTACTAATAAACAAGGCCAGGTATGGTGGCTCATTCCTATAATTCCAGTACTTTGGGAGGCTGAGGTAGGAGGATGACTTGAGGCCAGGAGTTCAAGACCAGCCTGGGCAACATAGCAAGACCCCATCTCTACAAAAAATTAAAAATTAGCCATGTGTGGTGACCTGTGTGTGTAGTCCTAGCTTCTCAGGAGGATAAGGAAGAAGGATCACTGCAGCCCAGGAGTTCAAGGTTATATTAAGTTATGATCATGCTATTGCACTCTAGCATGAGCCACAGAGCGAGACTCAGTCTTGGAAAAAAGAAAAAGGACTAATAAGCAAGTTCAACAAGGTTGAAAGATACAAGATCAATATATAAAACTCAATTTTATTTCTATACACTAACAATGAACAATCTGAAAATAAAACTAAGAAAACAATTCCACTTACAATAGCATCAAAAAGAATAAAACATCTCTAGGGCCAGGTGTGGTGGCTCACACCCTTAATCCCAGCACTTTGGGAGGCCGAGGATCACCTGAGGTTAGGAGTTCAAGATCAGCCTGGCCAACATGGTGAAACCCTGTCTCTACTAAAAAAATATAGGCTGGGCACAGTGGCTCACAGCTGTAATCCCAGCACTTTGGGAGGCTGAGGTGGGAGGATCACCCGAGGTCAGGAATTCAAGACCAGCCTGGCCAGCCTGGTGAAACCTCATCTCTACTAAAAATACAAAAATTAGCTGGGCATGGTGGTGGGTGCCTGTGATCCCAACTACTCAGGAGGCTGAGGCAGGAGAATCGCTTGAACCCAGGAGGTGGAGGTTGCAGTGAGCCGAGATCATACCATTGCACTCCAGCCTGGGTGACAGAGTGAGACTCCATCTCAAAAAAAAAAAAAAATATATATATATATATATATACACACACATATATACACACACACACACACACACACACACACACACCAAAAAAAGTAGCTGGGCATGGTGGCGGGAGCCTGTAATCCAGCCACTTGGGAGGCTGAGTCAGGAGAATCACTTGAACCTGTGAGGCGGAGGTTGCAGTGAGTCGAGATGGCTCCACTGCACTCCAGCCTGGGTAACAGAGTGAGACACTGTCTCAAAAAAAAAAAAGAATAAAACATCTAGAAAGGCCAGGCGTGGTGGCTCATTCCTGTAATCCCAGCACTTTGGGAGGCCAAGGCGGGCGGATCACAAGGTCAGGAGTTTGAGACCAGCCTGACCAACATGGTGAAACCCCGTCTCTACTAAAAATACAAAAATTAGCTGGGCGTGGTGGCATGCGCTTGTAATCCCAGCTATTCAGGAAGCTGAGGCAGAAGAATCACTCGAACCCAGGAGGCGGAGGTTGCAGTGAACCAAGATCACACCATTGCATCCAGCCTGGGCAACAGAGTGAGACTCTGTCTCAAAAAAAAAAAAAAAATTAAGAATAAATATTTACAAAGTGTAAGACACGTATACTGAAAACTACAAAGCATTGTTGAAAGAAATTAAAGGCCTAAATACATAGAAAGACATCCCATGTTCATGGATCAGAAGACTTAACACTTTTAAGATGGCAATACTCTCCAAATAGATATACAAGTTCAATGGAATCCCCATCAAAATCTTAGCTGTCTTTTTTTTGCAGCAGAAACTGATGAATTGATCTTAAAATTCAGATAGAAATATAAGGGACTCCAAGTAGCCAAAACATTCTTGAATAAGAAAAAAAGGTTGGAGGATTCACACTTCCTCATTTTGAAACTTACTATAAAACTACAGTAATCAGGCTGGGCACGGTGGCTCACGCCTGTAATCCCAGCACTTTGAGAGGGGGATGACCTGAGGTCAGGAGTTTGAGACCAGCCTAGTCAACATGGTGAAACCCAATCTCTACTAAAGATACAGAAATTAGCCAGGCATGGTGTTGCACGCCTGTAATCCTGGCTACTTGGGAGGCTAAGACAAGAGAATCGCTTGAACTCAGGAGATGGAGGTTACAGTGAGCCAAAATTGTGCTACTGCACTCCACCCTGGCAACAAGAATGAAACTCCATCTCAAAAAAAAAAAAAAAAAAAAAAAAAAAAAAAAAAAAAAAAAAAAGTGTGGCACTAACAATAGAGGAGGATATACTATGAGAAAACACCAGAAGGTACAGGTAGAAAAGTAGGCTGTGTTGATGAGGTTAGACTTTCTCTGTGGGCAATGGGAAGTCCTTGAAGATTTTGCACAGAGACATGCTACATTCAGTCAAGATTTTAGAGACTAATTGGAGCAGCAGTGTGTAGCAGGAACTGGAAAGTGAAGATACCAAAAGGCTGGGGAAAACCCATTGAAAAGCCACTATGCGAATCTAGGTGAGAGATAATGGGGGCCCTAAATTAGAGCAGTGGCAATGGAAATAAGGAAGAAAAACCAAAGATCAATCTCTCTCTCTCTCTTTTTTCTTAAGACTGGTCAAGTGAAGCAGTGGAATGAAAAAGGAACAGAGAAATCTGTGGTTGTGATCAATTAGTTGTAAACACCACTGCACAAAAAGCAGCCAAACCAAAGATCTCCTGTGTGAGTCATCCTTTTAACAATCCTGTGAAAAGACAGCAGGTCCAGGCCGGGAGCGGTGGCTCACACCTGTAATCCCAACACTTTGGAAGGCCAAGGTGGGTGGATCCTGTGAGGTCAGGAGTTCAAGACCAGTCTGGCCAACATGGTGAAACCCCGTCTCTACTAAAAATACAAAAAAATTAGCCGGACGTGGTGGCATATGCCTGTAGTCTCAGCTACTTGGTAGACTGATGCAGGAGAATCACTTGAACCCAGAAGACAGAGGTTGCAGTGAGCAGAGATCTCACCACTGCACTCCAGCCTTGATGACAAAGCAAGACTCTGCCTCAAAAAAATAAAATAAAATAAAGACAGCAGGTCCTGCAGCACTTGCATTGCCTCCTGAGTGTGAATGCCTTCAAATTCTACATGTAGGAATTCACTCACTTTACCCTAATCCCAGCCTTAAAACGAAGGTACCATAAGTCCCATTTTCTAAAAGAAAACCAAACCCAAGCAAACCGAATCACTGACTAAAAGTGTTATTGGGCATCCATGAGATGCTGAAGACTGAGCACCAAATAGCAAATAAGACCCTATACCTGACAACAGGCATAGTTTCCTGGAGGACATAGGCAAACAGGCAATTACAATCTAATGCTGTGACGGGGTAGAGGAAAGCACTGGATCTGGAGTCAGACTGCCTGGATGAGAAGCATAGCTCCACCACTTCCATGTGACTTTGACCAAGGGGATAATAATGAAATAATGATCCCTACCTCACAGTACTGTGAAAGATGAAATTAGTTATTATATATGAAGCATTTAGAACACTGGTGTGGCACGTTGGTATCTAAGCATTTATTGTTATGATGGTGATGATGATGCAGTATAGGTAAGCAGAGAGAAAGTGTGCGTGTATATATATCTACATCTCTACTTTAGAGGAAGGGAATTGCGTGGGAAGGTTTCCTGGAAGAAGTCTACTCGGAGCTGAATGCTCAGAGTTAACCTACTGAAGTCAATATCCTCATATGTCAGATAATGTCTATCTTACAACATCATTGTGAGAATTGAGAGACCAAATAAACAGACAATGACTAGACCTTATATAAAACAGCACTCTGACCCACAACCTGCAGCATCCTGCCCAGGAACTCAAATCATTATTTAGAATAACCAAGCCAGGGGGCCAGCCGGCTATAAGTCAGACCTGAAGGAAATCAGACTGCTATCTCTAGTGACAGCCCAGGAAGCCAAATAATAACCCCTTTAACAGTCAGCCCAAAATGGCTAGGACTTTTTTTTTTTTTTTTTTTTTGAGATAGAGTCTCACTCTGTCATCCAGGCTAGAGTGCAGTGGTGTGATCTCAGCTCACTGCAACTTTTGCCTCCTGGGTTCAAGCGATTCTCCTGCCTCAGCCTCCCCAGTAGCTGGGATTACAGGCACGTGCCATGATGCCTGGCTAATTTTTTGCATTTTTAGTACAGACGGGGTTTCACCATGTTAGCCAGGATGGTCTTGATCTCCTGACCTCGTGATCTGCCCACCTCGGCCTCCCAAAGTGCTGGGATTACAGGTGTCAGCCACTGTGCCCAGCCACAAAATGGTTAAGACTTGATTACTAACTGACAGCTTCCATAATTTCTGTCCTTGATTCCAACTTAGGACAACCAGAGAAAACCAAATACGCACCCCTAACCCATACCATAGAATGTCTTGCTTCTAGCTAGCTCACCTGCAGCTTCCCTGTGCCAACAGCCTCCAATCAGGTCATACCTGAAGCCATTTCTTTTTTCCACTATAGTTTTCGCACACCTCTCTTTGACTCGAGTCCCTATTCAAATGCAGGTGACAGTGACTGACTCTCTTGCTATAACAAGCCCTGAAAAATACACCCTTTGCTTGTTCTCATTTGGTTGGTCTCCATTTACATCCTCACAATTTAATTTGATAAAGTACATAAAATATCTAGTACGGCCGGGCGCGGTGGCTCAAGCCTGTAATCCCAGCACTTTGGGAGGCCAAGACGGGCGGATCACTAGGTCAGGAGATTGAGACCATCCTGGCTAACATGGTGAAACCTCGTCTCTACTAAAAATACAAAAAACTAGCCGGGCTAGGTGGCGGGCGCCTATAGTCCCAGGTGCTCGGGAGGCTGAGGCAGGAGAATGGCGTGAACCCAGGGGGCGGAGCTTGCAGTGAGCTGAGATCCGGCCACTGCACTCCAGGCTGGGCGACAGAGCGAGACTCCTTCTCAAAAATAAAATAAAATAAAAAATAAAATAAAATAAAATATCTAGTACAAGGCATAACTATTTTTCTAAGGACCTTTTGAATCTTTAAAGGAAATATTAACAGAAACAAAGACTGAGCTGTTTTCAACTAAAATTTACACTTTTATCTGAATCAAAAGGGCTGCGTGACAACCTGGTTTCAAACGCAGTCCTCAATGGTTTCAAAAGTGGCAGGTCAGACCTGAGAGCCAGCCTCCCTCCCAGACGGTTTTGGGCTTCACTGTATTGGTAGAAACAGCACAAGTGGTTTCCTACTTACCGTTTTATATTTTGAAAATCGACGGAACAGAGGGCCTGTAAGAAGAAAGCACAGACATTTTACAGTATGGGATCAAGGTAAGGTATTGTTCATGAGGACTCTTTTTTTTTAAATGAGGTCTTGCTATGTTGCCCAGGCTGGTCTTGACCTCCTGGGCTCAAGCGATCTTCCTGCCTAGGCCTCCCAAAGTGCTGGAATTCGAGGCGTGAGCCACCACATCCAGCTTCATAAGAATGTTTTAAAATCCCGTTTGGGATTTATCCAGGTCACATCTTCTATTTTCCCCTCTAAAGCCTACCTTCTTTAAACTGTCCCCATCCCACTTCCTCCAGAAAGGATATTCAGTTTTTTATGGCACCTCTCCCCACAATCACACAGAAATAACATTTGGTTCTGTTCCCATTAGGTTTGGTTGAGAAAGGACTTTGAAGCTACGGAATAAAAGTCGCGCTAGCGCACTGCAGCTTCAATTCCTGGTCTCAAGCGAGCCTCCCGCCTCAGCCTCCGGAGTAACTGGGACTACCGGCCCAAGCCACCGCAGCTGGCCAAGGAAGTAACCCTTAATTAATAGTTTATGCCATTCTTTTCCTTTGCAACTCGGAGTAACAAATATAAAATTTAATGCAAGATGTGAGCATTTTAACTCCATTTTAAGAGAGGTGTGGACTAAAGCCCCTTTCTCGTAAGCATCCACAATTCCTCGTTCCTGCGCATCTCCTCCTGTGGGACCATACATAAAAACCCAACTCCTCATCTTGGGCACCTGAAAATCTACTTTAACAGAGAAAGCGCTCTAGATAGCAGGCGTCCTTGGAGCTGGGAGTGAAATCCAAGCAAGAACTAACCACACCCCCCAATTCGCGCTCCTCCACCTGGCAGGTCCTCTGGGGAACCGCCCGTAACGGCCGCGCGGGTACCGTCGCCGAGGCCGCCCAGAGCCGGGCAGGGGCCGCCGCCGGCGTGACTCCCTCTCCCGCTTTTCTCCAGAGGTCCCCGCTCTCCAGGACCGCTCCGAGAGCTACCTGCGAAGGTAACTGCCAGGAGCAGCAGCGCCAAGCGCAGAACCGCTAGCGCCATCCTCCTCCCGCGCCGGGCGTCTGGCCCCTGCGCTCTGGTGCCAGCGCCACTCGCAAGGGGCGCGGGGAGGGCGGGGAAAGGGAGGAAGAAGGGGCGGGGCGAGAGTGGGAGGAAGTGCAGGGGTAGGTGGCGAAGGCAAGAGCGGCGGCGGGAAGAGGAGCCGTGAAGGGTCGAGGGAGAACCGGGAAGGGCTGGGAAGGAGAAAGGTAGAAGGACGGAGGAGGGGGCCATGGGGAAGGAGGGGGCGAGGGAGATAGAGGAAGGGGTGGTTGTTGCCCCACACCCTCTCCTTCCCGCCGAGGAGACTAAGGGGAAGACCTCTCCCTCCGACATACAAGAACCTGAGAGCCCTAGGGAACCCTCGTGGAACTCTTGGGAGCTCTGTCAATCGATCCCTATTTCTTAAGCATCTACTGAGTCCCAGATAGTGTTTTGTTGCTGAAGACACAGCCCTGACCTCGACAAAGGAGGTCCTTGCTCTCAGGAAGCGTTCCGCCTTTCCCTCTTTTAATATATTTTTTAACTATTTTAGTTGACACATAATGATTATACATACTTATGGGGGTACATAGTGATATTTGGATATATACAATGTGTAGTGATCAAAACAGGATAATTAGCATATTCATCACCTCAAACATTTATTATTACTTTGTGTTGAGAACATTCAAAATCCTTTCATTTAGCTACTTGAAAATACGTAATAAATTATTATTATTATTTAAATTTCAGACAGGGTCTCGCTCTTTTGCCCAGGCTGGAGTGCAGTGGCACAATCTCAGCTCACTGCAACCTCCACCTCCCAGGTTCCAGGTATCCTCCCACCTCAGCCTCTCTCCCAAGTAGCTGGGACCACAGATATATGCCACCATGCCCAGCTAATTTTTGCATTTTTTGTAGAGAGGGGTTTTCACCATGTTGCCCAGCCCTTCTTTTGAAGCCGAAATGCCTACTCACACAACTCTGAGCATTGCCCCTGAGTCTGGGGTCAGATTTGTGCTGTAATCCCAGCACTTTGGGAGGTTGAAGTGGGTGGATCACTTGGGGTCAGGAGTTCGAGACCAGCCTGGACAACATGGTGAAACCTAGTCTCCACTGAAAATACAAAAATTAGTGGGCATGTTGCCATACTCCTGTAATCCCAGCTACTCGGGAGGCTGAGGCATGAGAATTTCTTGAACCCGGGAGGTGGAGGTTGTAGTGAGCCAAGCACACCACTGCACTCCAGCCTGGGCAACAGAGTGAAACTTTGTCTCAAAAAAAAAAAAGTGCTGGAGACTGGAGCCAGCTGATTTTGTCAGAGTGATGAAGAGTCATTGCTGTGGCACTGCTGAAAGAAACAGCCAGCAGGCAGGAGCCAGTCCCTTCTCCCTCCTCCTGCCTTCTGATGTTCCCCTCACGGACCCTATGGGCATAACCTTCCAGAAGCCAGCTGGAAAAGCAGAAATGAGGTCTGCTGAGACCTGGCACCACATAGCAGAGTATAGAAGGGGAGGTGTAGAGCTGATGGAGAATCACCTTATGACTGGCATGTTCCCATGCCCACCCCTTGACCTTAGCAACCTCAAGGGCTGGAACAAGAAGACACTGTGCAGTTTTCAACTCCACTTGGCACCACACATGGCCGAGTTCTGGCTGGTATCCTGCTGAGGCCGAGGGGTAAATTTGAAATGAGTGTTAGTACTTTTCTAAGTCACATCACATTCAGTTCTTTGAACAACAGTCATAAAATGGTCATAGGTCATTTTGCTGAAGATTCTTATCAAGAATTGATAAAATATAATTTATATATAAAGCTTTCTCAACTCTGTTGGATGTCTGTTACCAAATGACATGTGCACTTGCTTACGAACACCTTTGATGCTCTGGGAACACAAATCTGACCCCAGACTCAGGGGCAATGCTCAGAGTTGTGTGAGTAGGAGTTTCGGCTTCAGAAGAAAAGCCATTTACACCTCAAGATAGATTTCTTATAAATGATGTGTGTGCATACAGCTGCCTTTACGTTATTTTGTTTCAAAGAGCTGACTGACTGGCAGGATGGCTCATGCCTGTAATCCCAGCACTTTGGGAGGCAGAGGGAGGCAGATTGCTTGAGCCCAGGAGTTGGAGTGCCAGCACCACTCACAGGGGACGCGGGGAGGGCAGGGGAAGGGAGGCAACATGGTGACAAAACCCTGTCTCTACAAAAAATACAAAAATTAGCCTAGTGTGGTGGTGCGCACCTGTAGTCCCAGCTACTCAGGAGGCTGAGGTGGGAGGATCACCTGAGCCTGGGAGGTGGAGGCTGCAGTGAGCCATGATCACACCACTACATTTCAGCCTGGGTGATAGGAGTGAGAACTTGTCTCAAAAAAAAAAAAAACAGTAACATTGATAGTTATACCTTAGAAATATTTTCTATCATGGTGCTTTTCACATGTTGTCTTAGCATTTGTGAGCCAAGAACAACGGTCAAAAAACATTTTCTGTAAAGGGCCAGATAGTAAGTACCGTAGACTTCTTGTCACAGCTAAACTCTGTCATTGTAGTGCAAAAGGAGACATAGACTATAACTCAATGAATGTGCATGACTGTATTCTTGTTTTGTTTTGTTTTGTTTTGTTTTTTTGAGAGAAGGTCTTGCTCTGTCACCCAGGCTGGAGTACAGTGGCGTGATCTCAGCTCACTGCAGCCTCAACCTCAGCCTCCTCCCACCTCAGCCCTGCAAGTAGCTGGGACTACAGGCATGCACCACCACACCCAGTTAATATTTTTGTATTTTTTGTAGAAGTAGGTGATATGGTTTGGCTGTGTCCCCACTCAAATCTCAACTTGAATTGTATGTCCCAGAATTCCCAAATGTTGTGGGAGGGACCCGGGGGGATAATTGAATCATAGGAGCCAGTCTTTCCCATGCTGTTCTCATGATAGTGAATAAGTCCAGGAGATCTGATGGGTTTATCAGGAGTTTCCACTTTTGCTTCCTCATTTTTTCTCTTGCTGCCACCATGTAAGAAATGCCTTTCACCTCCCACCATGATTGTGAGGCCCCCCAGCCATGTGGAACTCTTAAGTCCAATTAAACTTTTCTTCCCAGTCTCAGGTATGTCTTTATCAGCACTGTAAAAACGGACTAATACACAGGGTTCTGCCGTGTTGCCCAGGCTGGTCTCAAACTCCAGAGCTCAAGTGATCTGCCTGCCTCAGCCTCCCAGAGTGCTAAGATTATAGGCATGAGCCACTGTGCCCAGCTGGCATGGCTATATTCTAATAAGACTTTACAAAAATAGGCAGCAGGCCGTATTTAGATTATGGGCCTTAGTTTACTGACCTTAAGCCAAACATACCCCCAAAATGGCCATGCAGACCACTGGCGTGTTTGTTAGAGGGTAAAACCAGGTGCAAGCTAAGAGATCTGTTTTGTGGTTAATCCTTGTGGTTTGGTTTTTAGTCATTTTTTAGGTATTCATTGCTGCTTAGGTCACCATAGCTCAAAATGAATTTAAAAAATTGATAAAGTGTCTAGACAATTTAGGCAAAATAAAAAATTTTTTTCAGTCTTATTATCTGGTCACTACCTTTAAAATCATGTTTTTTAAAATCATGAATTATCTAGCTAATTCTGCCTGTAGAAGTCTGACTTTCAATTTTAGTTTTCTGTCAGTTCCTGCTGGTCCCCTTGTCATCATAGGGGCCTAGAGAGGAGCTTTCACTGTTTCTCATGCTACAGCCTACTAAGATCTTATTACTAACCCCATCAAAGCATATTATCCTACCTGTTTAATAATCAATTCTAGGCTTTTGAAATGCAGCCATAGGCATAAAAAAGCAAGCTCTGTTATACTAAAATTAGCTCAAAATGAAACATAGACTTAAAATATGAAACTTTAAAATTTTAGAGAAAAGCATAGGAGAAAGCATTTGCTCTGGGGAAAAAAAAAAAAAAAAACACCTATGCAGAAGATGAAGCTGGGTGCAGTGGCCCACACCTATAATCCCAGCACTTTGGGAGGCCAAGGTGGGCGGATCACCTGAGGTCAGGAGTTCGAGACCAGCCTGACCAACATGGAGAAACCTCATCTCTACTGGAAATACAAAATTAGCTGGGTGTGGTGGCACATCCCTTTAATCCCAGCTACTTGGAAGGCTGAGGCAGGGGAATCACTTGAACCCAGGAGGCGGAGGTTGCAGTGAGCCGAGATCACATCATTGCACTCCAGCCTGGGCAACAAGAGCGAAACTCCATCTCAAAAACAAAAAAGAAGTTTGAGGCTGTAGTGCTTAATGATCTCACCTGTGAATAGCCACTGCACTCCAGCCTGGGCAACACAGGGACACTCCATCTCTAAACACAAACAAACAAAAAAGGCAGAAGGCTGAGGCACAAGAATCACTTGAACCTGGGAGATAGAGATTGCAGTAAGCCGGGATAGCACCACTGCACTCCAGCCTGGGCAACAGCAAGACACCATCTCAAACAAAAAAAAAAAAGAGAGAGAGAGAGAGAGCGAAAAGGAGAAACTGTAGACCAGGAGAACATATTTTGTCTAAAATATATAAAGAGATCTCAAAACCAAGAATAAAAAAATATACATGATTAGAAAGTGGGCAAAAAGATGTGAATAGAGATTTCCCTGGAGAGGATATACAGGTGGCAGATGAGCATAACATTGTGAGCCATTAGGGAAATGCAAAATAAAAACTGCAATAACACTACACATCTGTCAGAATGACTAAAATAAAAAACAGTAGTAACATCAAATGCTGCAGGGATGTGGAAAAAGTGTATTACTCACTGTTCACGGAAATGTGAAATCGTACACCTACTCTGGCCAGGCGCGGTGGCTCACGCCTGTAATCCCAGCACTTTGGGAGGCTGAGGAGGGTGGATCATTTGAGGTCAGAAGTACAAGACCAGCTTGGCCAACATGGTGAAACCCCATCTCCACTAAAAATACAAAAATTAGCTGGGTATGATGGCGTGCGCCTGTAATCCTAGCTACTCAGGAGGCTGAGATAGGAGAATCACTTGAACCCGGGAGGTAGAAGTTGCCATGAGCTGAGATCGCACCACGGTACTCCAGTCTG